ATTTAATTATTCGACAAGAACAACAATCATCGGAAATCTATATAAATTCAATAAAAAAATTTTATCATATTGGCCATATGAAGATGATGATAATAGTCAATGGATATATGATGAATATTTATCAACAATGTTTCATCACTTAATTCGTTTAACATCATTATGTTCAAAAAAAATCATTTAATAAATAAAGAAAAATTTGATTTTTGTTATTTACATGAATATTTAATACTTTCTTTACAAGGTATTCTTGCTGGTGATATACAAGGACAACAATATGGATGGACTGGTTTACATAAATGATATAGATATGTGAAACATTATGAGCAAACCTGTTTATCAATATTGTGACGAGAATCTATCTGATTAAGTTACATACACAACATGAGATAGGTTAATCACTTAAGATAAAGAAATGACCTTTAATGACATTCTTACTCGTCGTTTAATAGATTGTATTGTTGTTGCATTTGATTGTACTTTCTAAAGAATAGAAATTATTTCATAAAACATAAATAATTATAATATAATTTACTTGTTGAAAAAGGCTTTGATTTGGTTCGAAAGCAAAATAAAAATATAGAAGCCAAAGTGTACATGAATTGACATAATCATTCCATGCAAGATTAGTTACAACATGTGATTCATTCTCTGTACAATTACTTGTTACAATTGTTCTTAAATCTGTAATACTATTATTTAAAAAATAAAAAAGAACATGCATACATATATTAATACATTCACACTTGATCTCTTACTTCCTCGAAAATGATGCTGGTAAAACTTCTTGAAAAAATGATAATTAATATAGATAAAATAGAATTAAATATATGCCCGTATATACAACTAATAAAGCACGAATTAAGGCAAATTTTCTACCAAATTCAACAGATAATGACCACATAAAAGCAATAATAAGAAATAAAATAAAATAAATAGAATTAATTAAACTTGGTTTGACAAATGCAGTAAAACCGACAATAATAAATTCAATAAACAGGCGTATATGTCTTACTTCTGATAATAATCGTGACCAATGATTATTTCGATTAATTATAGTAGTACTACTATTTGATGATGATATATTTGTTGTATGCGATATTGTTGAAGTTTGAAAGTCATTTGATTGACTTGATCGTGTGAATTATATAATGAATATTGAATAATAACAAAGCAGATTGTTGATACAATAAATATAACGATATCAGGAAAGATTACACATAAGATTCGAATATCACTGAATTTGTCAAGCCTTTAATTAAAAGCTGAAAATAATAGATCATATTAATCAGAAAACATACCATTCTAAACCACAATATCGAAGAATTTTAGTAATTTTAGTATCTAAAAACCAAGATAACAATGAATTTCTTTTGTTTTAAACAAAGTCTTCTGCATACAATTATTAAGCATATAACTATAAGGTCTATTTGCAAGAAGAATTGATTGAAAGATTATTTGAACAATAATAGCGAGAAGACTGATCAGACTAATAACAAGAATGAATGAACGAAAACGAGCTAAAATATAGTTTTTCAAAATTTTAAAATTCAATTTATTTTTATAGTTTTTACTTTGAATATTTTTGCTATTGATTGTACCCAACCATGGAAGAATAAGTAGAAGAAAACCATAAATAAATGAAACAATAGAAAATTGCAATAAACTTCCTAAAAGATTTATTCATTAAAGATATTTTGATAATTGAAAAAAAGAAAGCTTTGTTTTGTATTTACCATTAAATAACACAAGAGGAAGAAGGATATGTATTAGACCAGATAAGAATGATTGAGCCATTATTGTTAAATTTCTTCAAACAAAAAAAAAAAAAAACCGATATAAAACAAGCGATAAATAATCTTTTGTTTTTACTTCAAATGTTGATGTATTTGTATATAACGACGTAGCGTACTATACTTCTTCAATCATATCGTTCTATATGGATAACATGTGATAGAATTCTTTATTTATAATACGAAAAGAAAGAGAATGAGAAGAAAGAGACAAGTTTGTCGATTTTATCTATCATGAACATCATTGACTAAAATAAATAGACAATATTTATTTTTATCCTTCTGTCCTCTTAATGAAAGTAGAACAATTTTAGTCTAGTGTAGAAGTGATAATTGTGAAATGCCGATTTGAGACTTTTGGTTCTCGACGTTCTTCACAATATAAATCTAAGCTAGC